ATCACGCGGGCCACAGTTCTCCCTTATCATGGCAATTAGCACCGATACCATCACCAGCGTTTTATACCAGTGGTGTTCCCAGCCAAGTCGAAGACGACCTAGTTAAATCTGCTACAGTAATGTGCGTCAATAAGGGACCTCTGATATGAATAGGAGTGTAAAGGCTAATAGCCTTTATATTAAGGCGAACAAGTGGAAAAAGAAAGAACAATGTATTGATTTAGTTAAGAAGAAATGACACACTGCTTTTACTAATGAGCGTGGAGTGCAACCAGCACTTCGATGATGAATGGTTCGATTACCGATTTAATGTCCTTCTCGATTTGGACAGATACTATGTACTGGTACTAGTCGTACTAGATAATGAAAATAAAACTAATCCACCACTGTGCGAAACACCACGCCGGTGCGGTATGTGAGACGAAGTTGTACATGTCGTGTGCGAAAGTTGGTTGCGTTCCTTTGGACGAACGCGCCTAAGTGCTTAGACTACCGTAATTGTCGCAGAACACGCTCGTATTCTTTACGAATGTCGGGGCTGGAAATCCGGAGTAGTCTGCGGTAGTGGCAGCAAAATGCTGAATGAATCCTTGAAGTTGCCGTGGGCATGGGGTCCGGTTCTCCGTCTTCGAAGCAGATGTAGTTCCGTTTTGTCCACTGGTGGTGAAGTGTAGCGCAACGAAGCACATTCCACAGGCGCAGAATCGCGTCTTGATGACTACACCAGCGTTTGTTAACTCGTAACTTGTGTGGGAGAATTAGTGACGTCCACGATAGGTTGCTTGTGAAGAAGATACTCCAATCTTCCCACATGAGTTGCCACGTCCTTGTTGAATGGGGGCATTCCCAGAAGAGGTGCTTCGTAGTTTCAATCGATGTGCAGTTTGGGTTGGGGCATTGCTGTACGTCAGGAATCTGCTGCTTTAGGAACCAGAATCGCGATCGCACTGGAAGAAGACGAAGAGCAATCCGCATTTGAAGATCGTCATACACTGGTAGTAGCAGGTGGCGATGGTCTTTGCTGAATTGGGCGAATCGATTTACGTCTGCATGCGTTGTCCCGTTAAGATCGCGGCAGATGGGATGTATGTCGGGATCCAACGACGGGGGATGAAGAAGTTGTTTTAGTGGCGCCCGAGGGATAAACGGAAGCAATCTTGTTTTAGCAGCTTGCCGGACGCCCACATTCGGGACAAAGCGCAGGTCGATAGTAATGCTGTTTGTGTCAACCAACAGGTCTTTGATGCGCTCGAATATTTGGGTGAGTTCATTGTACAGGCCTTTTAGCCATCGCTTCTGTCGTTCCTGGGAGAACAAGGGATCTTGCGGGTCCAGTGTTTTCTCTATAAATCGTTCTCGGGTTGGCCAGTACCCGAATTCGAGGTAGATATCTCGTAGACTCCCATAGGACTTCCGATGTGCCAGTTGGAGTCGGTAACTTCGCCTTGGTTCTGCAACAGCTATAACATTTCGCTTCCTAGCGGTTCGCGTTTCGTACTGTAGCAGTGGGTTTTTGGAGAGCCAAAAAGGGGCAGCCCATAATGCTCTCATCGCGCTGGGGTGTTTTCCGTGAGTTAGCCACTGTGTTTTGTGCCACATTAGCCATGTGGATCTCCACCACTCACATAAGGCTTCCATTCGGATCAAGCATTTGAAACGGGTCGGCGAGATGTCAAGAAAACATAGAGGGTCTCGTATGGGGATCAGCGGAACCAAGCCGCGGACCGTGGATGACATTAGGGCTGGCCATGGCCGCTCAGGGCTCGCTAACACCTCTTGCGCAAATTGCTACAGGAGCAAGATACGCTGGGCGCGTAGCTGCGTTTCTAGGTGTGGGATCTGAAGACCTCCAGTACGTCTTGACTGATACAGTAAGGCGGAGGGTACAAGCTGTACAAAACTTGATTCAGCTTCATGTTTTCGCGAAAGCACGAATTTGTTTATCATTCGTTGCCAGCGTTGAATGTAGTCTTTCGGAACAGAGGTGTGCGGTGTAAAATGCCAGAGGGTCGACAAGATGACGGTATGCACGAGAAGGAGCCGCCCGCGAATAGTTCTTGCTCTTCTTGCCCAAACGCCAAAACTGCGAAAAACTTTAGAGTTGAGTTCAGCGAGGATATGATCTTTCGTCACTTGCTGTCCGAACGGGATATCCAAGTATTTAACTGTATCGGATGGCTTCATACACCGTACTTCTGAGGCGAATGGGCAAATTGCTTTTCGGTTGAGGGGCATCAACGCTGATTTTCGTAGATTCACCTTTGCTCCAGAACCTTGACAGTTGACCTCGACAAGTTCTGTAATGGGCCTACTTTGGCTCACTACTTTAGCTTACACGTGTGCGCGTGTATGTGAGGAAGCGTAGCCTAGTTTAAATTAGAGTTAATTATACTCGGGCCTCCGAGTATAGATTAATCTAAATAAACGATCCAAATAATGTTTTTGGGTTAAAATGAGAACTGCTATTTTTGTTTTATGTTTCTGACTTCCTCTAAATGTAATATTCTAAGATAGGAATCTGCCAACGGCTGGTTGGCAGAATTCCATTGCTATGCATGTCGCTCATTGGCTAAGAGATGCTGCTCTCAGCCAATAGGAATCCTAAGTCTCTATGGACCACCCGTCGTGGTGATCGTAAATGTATGTAGCCTTTGGTGTGTCTACACCAAAGTCGAGAAAGTCTTTCGAACCTCTAACAGACGTCATGTCTGTTAGAGTTACAAGTGACTGTAGCCACTTGTGCGTGTAACCCTGTTACACCATCCCCCCCTCAAGGTTAGACGCGCCGAGTCACGGCACGTCAATCAGGAAATTGACCATTCGTCAATTCTTCACGTTGGGAGAAAGATAACTCGAGCTCATTCCGCAATGAGCTCGCCGCAGAAGAAGACCGCCGCCGCAACAGAGGGTAACCTCTCTGTTGCTCAGTACCATGGGCGCCAGCAGGCAAAGCGCGACGCCCTCGCTGCAAAGGCCGCGTCGGGGACAACCCAGTCGGAGATTGTCCTCGAAGGTTCCTCTGTAGTCAACGCCGCCGTTGACTACGGGAGTGACGACGTAGAGATGGAAGAGGGCGAGGCCTCTTCCAACAAGCGGAAGGAGTCTATCGACAGTGATAGTCTCGACCCGCATGCCGGGTCGAGACGCCCTCGTGAAGGAGACGATTCGGACGCTTCAAGCTCGAAGCGTTCGCGCGGCGAGAGCGAAACTCCGCTCTCCGCTGCTGGGGCTTTAAGCTCCCCGCGTGAGGTGGCGTCTTCAAGTTCCCCGCGCGCTGCTCAGGTAGCGCGCGATCCGTGGATGCCGTCTGCGTCAGAGATCGCAGACCGTGTGGGCAACACCGCGCCTCCAAATGAAATTCCGCTGTACGTATGCAGCGGGATCCACAATGATGTTGTGGCGGAGGAGCAGCACTTTGATCCATTAACGAATCAAAGGCGCGATTACTATATCGGACTCTTTCACGAGCTCCGATACTTCTCCAGCACGAAGACCTCTTCTCGCAGCAAAGTGCCTGAGTGACAGGCACTTTGTCAAAGTTGGAATGCTTTTGTTAAGAACTTCAACAAGAAGCCGGCTGCTTACCGTGAGCGGGTTAAGCACGCCCGTGAGCGCTTCGAGACATTCTCGACGCGCGGGAGGCTGGAGCAGCTCCACAGATCCTCTGTGGACGCTGGTATTCCATGCGCTGTGCCCGAAGGCCATCAGTGCACGTTGTGTCTTCCGGGTGCGGTGCGCTTGAGCGACCGCGACCTAAACGGGTACACGACGATTCGTGTACCTGAGAGTCTCAAGGATCTCCGTGCCAAGTTCTTGGCACGCGAGGAACGCGACGATCGTGGGACCTCGGGCGCTGTAGGTGACCACAGCGCTCGCACTACCTTCGCGTCGGCAGTGCGTGGTGAGTTTCGTACGCCCTCACCATTTCCGGAACGGCCTGCAGCAGGACGTCCCGTGGCTCCCATGTATCTTGGTGGGGCGGAAACCCTCTCCAACGAATCCGATAACGAACCGGCTGCCGGTTCGTTTTTGGGATACTATGGTTCACAATACGCTCAACAATCCAGCGTGTTGAGCCGCGGGCGTCGCGGATCGGAGGCGGCGGTGGTGGGAACACGCCCTGGGTATGGTCAACCTGGGGTTGACCTTGGCCCGACGCTCGAGGAGCGGGTCGCTGCTCTGGAACAGCATCAGAGCCGGGAGTTCGCCGCTCTGAAGCAGGAGGTGGCGATCCTGAGGGCTCAAGTCGCTCAGGCCTCGCAGACCGCGTCGGACATCTCTGTCGACGTGGGAGGTCGCGTCGCACGCTTGGCCCAGCGCGTTCACGCGCTGGAGCAGAGGTTTGCTCCCGCTGGGGCTTCCGCTTCGGGCCAGCCGAGCTACGTGGCTCGTGCTGCTGGTATGGCTTCAGCCGCCCGATGTAAAAGGTCGGATGGAGGCGCATGCTAGATGGAATATCTAGCGTGTAGGCGTTGCCATGCCGTGCCAACACCGTGAACGGCCCGATGAAGCGCGGAGCGAGCTTGCTCGCCCCGAAGTCGGAAACTGCATGTTTAGGCAGGTTTTGAGTTGCTAACAAAACCAATGAACCCTTCTTGAATTCATTAGTGTTGCCCCTACCAACATTGTCTACGTTCAGCTTCTGTCGGTCGACAGAAGCTGCGATAGCGTCTTGGACAAACCGAATGACGGCTTGTCTGCGCTGCATGAAGTTGATTGCGTCCGAGCTGAACTCGTTCAGCTCGTTTCTAGCAGTAGGCCCGGCCTCTGCGTTCGTCTTCGCGGTGTCTGTGCCCTGCACAGACCCGTTCTTCTTCTTCTTCTTGCTCTTGTCGACGTCTGTGCCCTGCACAGACGCGTGCTTCTTCTTCTTGTTGCGCGTAGTCGCGGCTGACACTGTGCAAGTGTCAGCGGCATTCTGCGGCTGCTGTGTTGCAGTCGTAGATCCTCCCCCACTTAAGGAAGGAGCCACCATCCCGAGTAGACTCGGGAGGCGTGGGTGCCTGATGGCATTCACGTAGAACGGTGTATGCCCGGTCGAGGCATGCACCGAGTTGTTGATGGCGAACTCCGCCATCGGTAGGCACTCGCTCCAGTGTTGGAACGAGTGAGCGTAGCTCTTAAGCACGTCTACGAGCACGCGATTCACGCGCTCGGTCTGCCCGTCCGTCTGCGGATGGTCCGCAGCCGACATCGAAAGTTGACTCCCAAGAAGTGTAAAAACTTCTTGCCAAAGGTGTGCAGTGAAGCGCGGGTCCCGATCCGACACAATGTCGATCGGCATGCCATGGTGTTTGAACACCATGTCAACGAACAGACGCGCCGTCTGCTTCGCAGTCACTTCAGCGGGTACCGCAGCAAGATGTACCATCTTGCTGAAGCGGTCAACAAAGACCACAACGCCCGTGTTCCCCTGGCTGTCCGGGGGAAGACCGAACACGAAGTCCAAAGACATGGACTGCCAACACTCTCGTGGAGTTGGTAGTGACTGCAAGGGAGCCTGCGCGAAAGGCGCAGGCTTCACACGTTGACAAACCTCGCAAGCAGGGACGTACTTGCGCACCCATTTATATTGGTGGGCCCAGTAGAAGTCTCGCGTGAGAAGAAGGTATGTCTTCTCACGGCCCGGATGCCCCGCAGGCGGTGCATCGTGATACTCATACATGATCCTGAGTCGCAGGTCATGGTCATTGGGCACGACAACGCGGTCCGCGTTGTCGTCGACTGCACTGTAGAGTAATAACCCGTCGTGCACCCGGTAACGGTGTGCACGAGCACGAAGATGCTTCGGCAGCTTCTGACGAGCTTGGTCAGAAGGCGCTGAGCCGTAGGCCAGCAAGAGCTTTGCGTCCGCGTCGTGCGCGGACGCGACCTTCACGTCGTCCAACAGTGACGACGTCGGGGTGCTCGATCGCATGACGTCAATGGCATTGATGTCGGCATCAGTCGTGGTGTAGTCAGGTCGACGCGAGAGCGCGTCGGCCACCACATTGAGTCTTCCGGGTTTGTACTCAACCCGGAAGTTATACTCTGCGAAGAATGAGAGCCATCTCGCCATCCGTTGCGAGATGTGCGGCGACTTCACAGCCGTCCGCAACGACGCGTGGTCCGTATAGACCACGAACGGTTTGCTTCCGAGTAGATACACTCGGAACTTCGCGAGTGCGTACTTCATGGCAAGGAGCTCCTAGTCATGTACCGGGTAGTTGCGCTCAGCTGGCTTCAGCTGACGCGATTTGTAGTAGACGACACGATCACGACCCTCGTGATCGTGCTGCATCAACGCAATCCGATTGCGAAGTCGGATGCGTCAAACACAACGTGGAATGGGCGATCTTGGTCGGCCACCGCCAAGATCGGCGCCTCAGTCAAGCCCTGCTTGACTGCATCGAAGGCCTGCTGACACTCAGCAGTCCAATCCCACTCGGCGTCCTTCTTCAGGAGCTGTGACAGCGGGCGTATCATGCCCGCGTAGTCCTTCACGTACTTGCACAAGTACGTGGCCAAGCCAAGGAACTACCGCAGTTCCTTGACGTTCGACGGCGTCGGCCACTCATTGATCACTCTGACCTTCTCAGGGTCAGGGCGGACACCGTTCTTCCCGACGAGACACCCGAGCACGGGTATCTCGCTCGCCACGAAGATGCACTTCTTCAGGTTCGCATAGAGCTTGTGCTTGCGCATGAGCGCAAGCAGCTTCCGGAGATGCACCCTGTGCATCTCAACATCGCTCATTCCGTCCGCAGCCCGGCTGTGGACGAACACATCGTCGAAGTAGCTCGGTGCGAAGTCGCGCACCGAGCGCAACAAGTGCGTCACGCACCTGGTGAAGGTCGCAGGGGCGTTCTTCAGACCCTGTGGCATCACTAGCCACTCCCAGAGCATGCCGCTCGGCGTGCTCACTGCCGTGAGAGGGATATCGCTCTCACGCATGCGGATCTGATAGAATCCATCGCACAGATCAAGAGCACTGTAGATAGTGCTCCTGGCCATCGAATCGATGATGGCATCTTTTCGCGGTATCGGTGTCTGCGCCGGTATCGTCGCATCGTTCAGCTTGTTGTACGCATGAACGATGCGCCAACCGCCCTGTGGCTTCTTGACACAGAACGTCGGAGCACTGTGTGGGGATTTCGATTCCCGCACTTGTCCAGCTTTGCGACGACTCTCAAAGAAGTCGTCGATCGCCTTGACCTGCTCTCGTGGCAGTGGCCACTGCCGCGTGACACAGTACTTCGTCCCCGGCACGAGATCAATCTCGTGCTGGATGCCCTAGTCCTGCGGAAGTTCCGCAGGGATCTCTTCCGGAAGTACGTCCACGTACTCCCGTAAGATTTCGTAGTAGGGACTCGTCTTCAACGAGTCCCAGCTCTGCTCTTCAAAGCGCTCCTTCTTCGTCTTCGCACTGAGAGTGTCCTCGCTCTCAGTGGTGCTCTCCATGAAGAACTGCCTCAGTTCTTCATTCTCGCTCTTCGTTCTCTCGGCGTCCGCAAGAATGCATATTTGCTCGATGCGTCCATCGTGCATGTCACGCGCGAAACGCTTCCAGCTCATGACTGGAAGCGAAGTCAACTCCGACGCTTGCGTCGGAGGGTTAGCGAGTGTCATCTCCCTGTACCGGAACCCGGCACAGGTACGCATCAAGACGTTCAACGTCTCGACGTCCGGCTTCTCAGCCTCCGTCTGCCCGGCCGACATTTCCTGTAGCGTCTCGGCCCCAGGCCGAGACTTGCGCAGCGCCCTTCGCATGCGCCGTCTTCTTGTTTTGCGGTGCCCGGCTCCGCTTGGTTCTTGACCTCGTCCAGGCCCAGCCGTGGACGGGTGTTCTTCTTGTATACCACCGGCGGGTATATCCCGCGGGCGAGTGACTTCAAGCCCGGCTTGGTCGCCCGGCGCTTCGTCGTGCAGCCCGGCTGCACGACAGCATGCAAGTTTTTCCGGTGCGGGACGTTTGCAACCGTCCGCACCGCCTGCAGCGTCGGCTCCCGGAGCCGACACGCCATCTTCACCTCGACGCCTGTTATTGGCGGAGCCCTCCATTACGGAGGGTGCGTCGGCTCCCCGAGCCGACGAATCCAATTCGTCCAAGCTATCGACTCCCGGAGTCGACGGCGTTACGTCACCTTGGCCCTTATTATTGGCCAGACCTGATCCAATCAGATTCGCGTCAGCCTCCACGGCTGAGGCGTGTGACTCGCCTGCGTCATCCGTGCCCCTTGAGGCCGGAGACTCTTCCTGATTCGCTGAAAAGCGGGTGTCGACCTCCGAGGTCAACACATTTCCTTCATTAGCTGTCGGCGGCAACGCCGACGCTAGCTGCTCTTGCGAGCGTGCTCGCGCGCGCCCAGGGCGCTCCGGGACAGCGGCATTAGGCGCTGTCTCGAGTGGGGAGTCGCGCGCACCTGTCGGTGCGTGCGTAGCGGCAACAGGGCCATCGCTCACTGTTCCGCTGTCGCGACCGAAGCGCACGAGAGTGCGCTTCTCCCAATCGATGACCGGATCATGCCGTGCAAGCGACGGCATGCCCAATACAATGTCAAACTTATCGTCCAGATCCAGGACGATAAAGGTCTCGACAAACTCTTGATCTTCATACGTGAAGCGCACGCGTACCATGCGCTTCTCGGTCTTTACGATGGCACCCGTTGCCAGTCGTACTTCCAACATACTTCGAGGTATCTTTAAATCCTCGAAGTCAAGCCTTGATAGACTTCGCAGTCGAACAAAGTTCTTCGACGCGCCAGAATCTACCAAAGCATGGAGAGAGCGGCTTGCTCTCATCGAGTTCACGTTCAGGATGACAAGGTCAGGCTTGTCATCTTGGTTCTTGCAGTGAGAATGAACCTCACTGGGGGCTG